TATATATAATCGAAGGTATGAAGACCAAGAGGGTGTGGCCTTTTGTGTGGTCGCAGTCTCCTTTCGTTGTACAGAAGTTGTTTGACCTTCTTTTCGTAACTTGATCATATTGGTAGGAAGACCTAGAGGAACGCACCTAGTCCGGAGTTCAGTGTATGCATCATCATTTCCAAAGTTGGACCGTGGACGTAGTACATTTTCAGAAGTTTCGCCGGCATCGTCAGTCAGTCCTGCCATTCGTAGCACCACACAGCAACTCGTCAAAGAGACAAGTGAAGCAGATCCTTTGACCAAACATGTGCTAAACAGTTGTGGTATCTCCTCTTCTGCCCTGGGCTATTTATATTTCCTATATCCTCCTGTCATGCCTTCCCTGTCACAATTTTTACCGTGCATATTTTTAATGTGCAGAATGTTGAGAATTTCTAGAGAAAAATGTAGAGGTTATAAAGGGACGATTTCAACTTTAATTTTATTTAAATTAGATCAGGAATGAGGATAACAACCAAAAGTGGATCTGTTTGCCCTCATCAAAACTGAGCCAACAATTGCGACCTTTATTAGGAAAATGGATATCAAGGTGATAACAAAGGAGAAGAAAACACTTTTCACCTGTCTGCTGACGCAACACGAGAAGACGGACAAACTTGATTGCTCGGGAGTTTATCGCATCAAATGCGGCAACTGTGAGCAGGAATACGTTGGTGAAACAGCAAGAAAAATTGGCCTACGAATCAAGGAACATCAAAGACTCTGCAGGAACATGGATACACGAAGATCAGAAATAGCGGAACATATTGCACGGACGGTGCGCGAAATCGACTGGAAATCGACCGAAAGGTGGGCTGCATGTGGTGAAGATACAAGAAACGGAAGATCCGAGAAGCCATTGATATACTGACTGAGAAGAATCTAATGAACAGGAGACTTGAAGAAGGCAGGATGAGCGAAAACTTTGCATATTGCCTAAACAAACCATGAGAAGACCAGGCAACAGGAAGATCAGAAAAAAGAAGACGACTGGATCAAGGCAATATGCTTAATTTTATGAAAAGAGATCGCAGTGGGACGAGAAAGGAACAATTAGAAGCAAAAAGGAGACGTCTTCAGTGAGCCTTATCAAAACAAGTAGAACCACAACATTTGTGGGTTGGCACACAAGAGACTAGGACGTAGGAAGTGATAGTCATGGTATTGCAGATAGAAACAGGAAAGACGTGGTGGAGACTAAAGCTATTTGGCCAAAATAGT